TATCGATAAAATCTTGCGATTTTATCATATAAAAAAGAATTTAATCAACAAAAATTCATCAATTATGACCGATAAACATTTTGAATCGGACAACGCACAGCATTGATATCCATATTTTGCGAATATAGAGTTGTCGTATATAGATTACTATTATGATTCAAGGTAACGTTATACATGCTACACAAAGTGGTTTAGTAGATTTATTTTTAAATACACATACACGCGTACAATTATTATACATATACGATATTATCATATGTAATATAATAATACATATCATTACATGAAAATCTATTCATAATGCTGATTCGTTTCTGTTATCAATCATCAATACATCATCATTTCTAGAAATTTATTATTATTAGACTATATCTCAAGCGGAATTAATAGCGCAATATCCGTATGTAAAAGCAGTCTGTCTGTTCACATCTAAATGTGACGGATGTCCCGTTACGATAATGCACTTCTCACGGTCTTTTACGGAGACACTCAATAGTTTGCACGTGGCAAGGGAGTTTAAAGACCCTTAGAAGCGAACGGAAAACCTGGCAGAGGTTCGCTTCTCGCAGGGAAACATGCGTAGATGAGTCATACCAGTAAATAGTAGCTTGAAAGTAACAAGCATGCATGCATGAAAATAAACAGCATATAGCGGAAAAATATATGTATTGTGTGTTATTTTCTTTATCTCATGATTTTTATCATTTTTATCATTTATCATATGTATATATATATCTATCTATCTATTGTATTAACAACAAATAAATATAAATTTGTAATAATTTAATTTATTTTATATAATTACGTATCTCGCCGACGTGTTTACTTAGCGCGAGACATATCTCTTGAATAAATTCGTAAATATTATTTTTATATGGTTCATGTTAATATTGCGATTGTTAAGATGCAAATGATTTTAAATTATAGAATAATTTAGAAATCAAATTCCGATAATATTTTAATGACTTCACGTTAAATATAAAAGAGTTATAAATATTTTGTACATGTAATATTACTGAAAAAATCTTTTTTTTATTCATAACTGATCACCTCTCTATCATATCATTGCAAAAATCTATACACTACATTAAGCCAGCTAATCTTTTCAAGTCATTTTCATATTTAATTTAGCACCATTCCGTTAATTTTTAACAATCAGTATATGCATAAGTATCCAATATCATTAAGAAATATCATTATCACGTAAAACTAAATATTCATTACGTATATTACGTAGTCACGTACACCTTTTATTCAGCATTGCACGAGTGAGCGCTACGTGTGCCGCGTGCAGGCGTGCGCGACACTCTTGCGTAGCACGTGTATGTAGTGGATTTCCTGCACGCACCGAACCTGAACGTAGGAGGGTTCATGACTCTGTGATTCGATATGCCTTTTGTGCCTATTCTCTCGAAAACAATACTTTCAACCTGTGCGGATAAAAACACGAGGCTTTTAGTGGCATGATGCGTCGACAAAGTCGCTTCTCAGTTTTATTCGTGTTTTCATCAGCATGAATGTAAAGAAAAAAAATTGTAAGATATAATTTTACTAAACATTATCTATAAGCTAAAACTCGTTTAAAACTAAACAAATATGATCGAGAAATAATAAAATGCCAATTTTTTAAATATTAACTTCTAAAGTAATTAATTAATTTACAAATCATATGTTACACCACTTTTATCAAATCTTCATTTTTTTATTGTTAATTATTAATGGTTAATAAGTAAAGAAATAGAAAAAATTAAAATGTAGAAAGTAATCAAAAGAAATAAAGTCATTAAAACATGTGTATTTGCATGTTCGATTATAAATTCGTAACAGATTTAATCCATTCTCGATAATGGAAGACTTTGACGTAAACGCCAGCTACTTTTCCACAACCATGACCAAAAGACACAATGCCGTAAATTGTCCTTTTATTGGCCAATGCTCCTCCGGAGTCTCCAAAACAAGCATCTTTTCCTTGGGTTCCGTAACACAAATGATAGTCATCTTCGATGAATGTCGTGTATAAAGATGAAATATTAATACAGGTTTCATATGAAACGTGCTGAACGTAAACGCCCATTAGAGTTTTAGCACTCTCTTTCTATAAATTATTTTAATTAAATTGTATGCTTTTTTTATTCCTTTTAATTTCTAATAATAAATTAATAGAAAAAAATTTGAGACGTGTATCAAAAAGAGAATATAAATATAATATAAAAGGCATCAATAGCGTTTTTATTTAGTAAAAACATTCTATAGATATGTATATATGTTTGAAATCCCGCAGTTTCAAATTTTGTTGTTTCACTTATTAGTAATTTAAATATTTGATATTTTTGCAATTTATAAATAGGAAATACACAAATAAGCAATATAAAATATTTAAAAAAGCATTTTATAAATCTTTACAATTTAACTTACTTACTTTTTTATCATTTATGTATCCCCAACCACAGACTAACAGTTCAAATGGCAATTCATGGCTTGATCTTGGTAAATGAATTGGCCTGACTGTTTTCGAAAAATGAAATGGTGGTTTCACTTCGAAAAGTGCGATGTCGTGATAAAATAATCCCAAGATCCAAGAACGATATGTATCATTATATATGCGAATGTTTGTCACTCTATGTACAGATCCGCCTCTATCCATATGATTAGATCCGGCCCGTACATAATATTGCGACGGTACTGAGATTCTAGAAAGTATCAAAATAAAGCATTAAAATCATTAAAATTAAACTTACTATGCTTCATAAGTTTAATTAAATATTAACTTCAACAAGAATATGTTAAAAGAATTAATAATAACGAATCATGATGTGAAAATCTTATTACAAACAATGAAGAGCAGTAATAGCCCATGTTCTCGATAATATACTGGCGCTGCACAATATTCCATGTGAACTATGTAAAGACAGCTGCAAGTATTATTTTTAGAAAATATTAGCAAATGAATAAATTATATCTATGTATGTCGACCTACAGTTAAAAAATACTTAACCATAAAAGGTCTATATCTTATGTCAATTGATTGTCCTCCAATAATTTTTGGTTGCGCTGTATATGTTGCATTTCCATCTGTTTCTTTTAACAGAAAACCTAGAGTATACATATATAGGGAACATTGTGTAATAGAGATAGCTTGTATTAACTCTAATAGCACAATTATCAGCACAATATTGTCCAAATATTGATCAATATTGGCTAACGTTTAAATATACCAATATATTGCTAGGGAATGGAAATAGTGTCTATTTAATTATTACTATAATATTATACTATTATACATTGTTAAAAATGTCATGAAATGAAGAGAAATTTTTAATACTTTTACACAAATTAAATTCAATTTTATGAAAGTTACACTAAATTAAATTTAATATATGTGTAACTGAAAAGTATATTTGTGTACATATTCATAAAATTTAGTGTGCTTTTCATAAAATTTTACGAAGTTTAATATATTTTTTATTAAACTTTATGTAGACTTACATGAAGTTTAATGTATAAACGTTAAATTTAAGTTACTTGTAACTTCATTTTCATTACCAACATTATATGTAACAGAAGCAAATTAATTGTTTTTTAAACAGTGTATTATTTTATAACTTATATATACTTTTATACTTTTATACTATTATAACTAAAGGCATAAATATTTGTTTGTTTTATTGCTAACAGTACTGTATAAATAATTATTCGTACCGGCAAAATAAAGAACAATGACTGCTCCGCGCATTTTTGCTGACTGTGTCATCATACAATGAGATCTAGCATATGTAAAGTGTGACGATCTATTTCCTTCTGGTTGTAAATGTCAGACAAGATATATTTCGTGAACGTTTAACAGCAACAAACGATGATACTATCGCAATTACAGCATTACAATAGTACCAAGATTGAACATGATTTATGTAAGTGCCATAAGCAAAGTGATAATTTGAAATTTATCATACCTTGTCGCAACGAGTCAAATATTTATTAGCAATGAAATTATTGTAAAGATTCCTAGGCCGACATTCATAGTCACACATAATTCTTACATTTAAAAATATCTTAAGTACAATGTTAAGATGACATGACCAATCTAAGACGTTTTAAGATATTACTTAAGACAGTCTTGATGTAAGAACCGATTAAAATACCATAGTTTTTATTTTAAAAATATGAAAATTGCAATTGCGTTTAACGTGCAATATACACTACCACTCATTAATTTCAATACATCTTCAAATTTATTGATTTCTCTGTAAAAGATAAACATGATACGTGTATTTTTCACAGAAATGAATTCACCTGCTGTTATGAACATTTTCAGCACTCATATGCATGTATTTATACATTATTTACATAAAAATTTGTTAAAACTATAATTTTCGAAGAAACGGAATTAACAGTCGAATAATGTCTGACTAGACATAAACAAAATATGCACGCAAGATCACGAGGTGCTCGTAGTGATATCAAATACATGCTCAATGCAATTTTGAAATCGATTCGTCAACACATATATACAGTGACCGAACTCCTCTCTCTCTTTTGTAAAGCTATGTAAAATGATCTCGTAAATAGCTTTCAGGAAACAGGTGGACTCATTCCTATACAAAACATATCACGTTATATATTACATTATCTTAACATTAATAAATCGCAAATTATTCATTGCTTCTCTCTCTTAAAGTAGCTTTTATTAAAATTTAAATCATAAGAATCATTTATTACATTTTAAATATATTTTGAATAAAATTTAGTCTTTATCATAGATATCGTCAATTTCTGAGAAATTTTTTCTTACAACAAAAAAATTAATTAATTATATACGCATATATAATATATATTTAATTAAATTATTTTAACATTAATAAATCGAAAATTGTTTATTGTTTCTCTCTCTTAAAATAGCTTTTATTAAAGTTTAGATCATAAAAATTATTTGTTACATTTGTAAATATATATTGAATAGAATTTTGTTTTTACTATTGATATACTACTAGATATTGCCGCGATTTCTGATAAATTTTTTAAAAACAAAGATCTACGTTTACGTCCAGGTGGATTCCGTCGATTCTTCGAGATTAGATTCATCTTTGTGCTCTCCCAAACAAAATAATGTAGAAACAAAGCTAATTGTTTCCATGAACATAGTAACCAATAGCAAGTTATTTGCCAAACATGCTAAAGTGCTCCTGTAATTTCGACTTCTTACTTTACTTACATGATTCATTAAATGCATTAGTTTTCCAAAAACATTATCGGCCTCTTTTCTTATTTCTGCAAAAATAAATATAAAATTTATTTGTAAAATTAACTCTATTATTGCACAAATTATTATAATTCCAAATATTTTTAGTTAATTTAGAATCAATTAACAGAAGTCGAAGAAAATAAAAATGTTACTTAAACTGCTTCGATATCAAAGTGAAATATTTTTTTAACAATTTTGAAACAATCTAAAAAAATTAATAATTATTATAGTATGTATGTATATAATTAGTATGTTGAAATATTATCTTTCTTATATGTATTAATATAAATACTTACGATCTCTTTTAGAATATTTCACGAGATGTCTCATTTGATCATTTTCGTCAAGTTCCTCCTCACTTGCACTATCCGAATCTGTTATATTAACCAATGAAATATCAGTAGTAGTTGACGTTTCAATGTCTATATCATTTAAATTTGTACATCCAAATAATTCCAAAAGTTTCATCAACCATTTAGACAAACAGGAGAGAAGGTTACAATGATTCTGCCATGATTCTTTAAAAGAACTTCTAATACCATGGATAAGAAATTGTTGCATTTTTAATGCAAAACGATGAAAGTTTCTAATAACGAGCATCGTTTCCCTTAATATACCATTTTTATATATATTTAGCGATACAGACATTTTTTTATATCTAAAACAATTATTTATATAAATTTTTAGATAAATATTATTTTATGTTATGCTATTATAGTTATGCATTTTTAATGTTAATAATATAAAATTCTGAGAAGTTATATCGTGCACTGTAATAAAGATTAATAAATACATGAGTTATTAAAATATCATTAACCTCATAGCCACTCTCTTGTCCTTAGCAGCATTTTTCGAAAGCATATTCAACTTCCTGTGGCCTTCCTGGTAAATTGCAAAATACTTACACACATCATACGTTAATTGTCTTCCCCATTCGTTTCTCGAAAGAATATTCCCAAGTTTATTCGCGATAAGATAAAAAGGTGATTGTTTAGATATCTGTTGGTCTAAAATTTTTTCGTAAATATATTTCACTTGCTGCGTTGTAGACTTCGGCAATCTTCGATAAAATTGACAGTTAATGCTCGTATTGTCGATATTAATCTTACATCCACTTAAATTTTCAATAACAGTTAACCATGGTTTGGTAAGAAATCTATGATGATCGATTTCTTCGTACGAGTCTTGATCTCTTGATAAAGATACGCAAGTCACGAAATGTCGTAATTCTTTGATACAAACGCTGTAATGACTGACCTTTTCAACAAGTGAATGACATAGCAACATATATAATTGTTCATTGGTTTCACTGTTACTTGGTGTAGAACGAATGAATGCTTGATCTAAGCGAAATTTAAACAATTTTACAGTGTTGTCGAGTGAATCTTTTGCTAAATTTACAAGAGCTCGATCGAGATTAAAAGATGATGTTGGATTCCTCCTGTTTGTTACTGGCAACAAACATTTAAATAATTTTTCGCTAAAACTGATGGCGTCATTTATAGTACTAAAAAATTTGAAACTCTTCGTTTTCTTGCATGGTGATAAGTTCTGAAATAAATGTTAATAGATTGTGTTATTTATATAACTGTCCTAATTCATAAATAGATTGCCCAAATGTTTTTTTCTCGATACTATCAATAATTAAATGGTTGCTTTTGAAACTATAATCTATTTACATACTTATATCTTAATTATAATTTTCTTAAACTTCTAAAACAATCTCTCTTTTGATTCTTTCGAGCTTACCTTATTCTCATATAAAGTCATATTATATGTTTTGAAATAATGGTTGATCGCAAATCCCATCTCTTCTCCTATTCCAATCAAATCATATAATAGCAGCGATCCCTGGACAAGACTTTCGGTAAACCAATTTTTAGAAATTGTAGAGTATAGAGGTAGTGTTTGTTTATATTGACGAATTGATGCAGTTAGTCCGCTAATTTGCGCGAATTCTATAATTTTTGCACGTATAATCTTGCTTATTTCACTAATTGTACTTCCCAAATTGCCTCCATCGGAAGACGACAATCTCAGGGTTATTGGCTGAGCGAATGACCCAGTTAATCTCGCTAAGAAATGTTTTATTATTACTTCCGCATGTTGAATCTGTTTTGGATTTACTAAAACAAATGATGCAATATTCGGTTGATTTTTTCGAGATGCAGGCAACATGGAAAACGTTTCATTATGATAAATACTTTCCGTTATCACACAAAATACATTAATCTCTGAAAAAAATTATAGAAAGAGAGAGAAAAGAACATTGATTATATTGATTATATATTTATTTGTTATTGTGATATCAAATTAAAAATAATACACTACCGAAGAATAGAAACAAAATAATCAATTTGCAACGCATCTTTGAGCTAACTATGTTTGCAAATAACTAGTTCGCTTTTATGTAGATTTTTGTCAGACGAACGTCATGTAATTTACTGTGAACAATAGAAAATATTTCTTATACGTTTAGTTAAACTTATCTCGTTGTTGGCTATCTATTGATGCATATTATAAAAATAGAAAATTTATGCTTTCATTTAAACGGACGTTAATGCTGCCTCATATATAACACGATGCGATAATGATAATACAAGGTTTATTTTCGAGACATTACAGAACAATAATCAATATTTATAATTTTTATGAAAATATAAATTAATCTCGGATAAAGGTTAAAGTTAGCATTCTCATTTCCGTGCAATAATACTGCAGAAACATTATTGATGTTTGCTTCAACGGATTCGTAGTGTATGTATGTATGTATAGCGAAATGGCGTGTGGCGCCTGCGTTCAAGAACCGCAACGATCGCGACGTCAGTCTGGATAGCAGCTTTTACCAGGAATCAATTCCTGCACAGGTACTGGCCTAGAATTAGTAATAGAGTGCGTTTGCGTTACTGTCTTCTAGTGTCTACGATAAAATAAAAAATCGCAAAAGATATAAATAAAACTAAAATTCAGATAGTCATTGAATTATTAATGATAAAAGTGATATTATATATTTTTTGAATTATTTTTATTTTTTATAAAGTGTACTGGCTAATTGAATGTACCGTTATGTCAGTGTTATTAATAAAGAATATTTTTTATTTAAATTTATTTTTATATTTTTAATTAAATTAATTATTTTGCCGCGATAAATTTTGATTCTGAAGTAATACAATATTTTATGTGATGTCAAACGTAATGCATTTCTGCTGTGATTCTTTGATATTAATCTTATATATGTCTACAAATAGATCACCTGCATAATAGATGATATCATCGAGATGATAAAACAAACTCCACGAATGTTGAGTCACATACACAACTGCGCGTTTCAGACGATTATTTTATTAGTCTGACATCACATTTATGATAGATAAATCATAAATGAAATAAACCGATCGAAAATTTCTTCCTCTAATTACTTAATTTTCATTTAAATGTTAGCCGAGAAGAATAAACATACAATAAATTTTAATCTTTCATAGATATTTACTAATTGTCTAAGGTCGATTTCTTTAAATATCAATCGTCTAACTAGTTAATTAATTCTTTGTCGTTTTTTTGGAACACATAAAAAAATAAAGAGTCAAAAAACTAAATTGTATAAGAATATCAGCAAAACTCTTATAGATAAATATATATTCCATTTAATAATTTAATATAAATTAATTTTAAATATAAATCTCAATATGTATGAAAAATAAATTCTCTGCATGGTATCATTATTTTTAAAAAATTTGTATTTCTCCAAATAAATGAAAAATATTCTTAGACAAAATAATATTGTAAAATTATAACATTTTGTAAAACATATATAACGGGTAAAAGAAGTGAGAATGCTTTCTTGACTTGATAATAGGTGCCATCTATCGGGCGACCAAGAAGTAAAGAATGGTTGAATATTCCATTCAAGAATAAATGGAACGCTTAGTTACACCTATACCAGGCTTATAACTCCAGTCGGCATATTTCCGTTACAAAACAGACTTAAATTTCCTACACGGGGTCAATATTTGACAAGGAATGTTTCTGTGAGTGCACAATTAATGTACGTACACAATTTTCTGCAAGTTCGGCAACTATACTTAAGAATTGAATGCTTAAAATAACGGTGAAATTCTTGGAAAATACTAAATCACGTATAAGTGCGTTCTGATTTATTGGGTGAGAAAAAAGTCGAGCGAAGATGGATGAAGAAGCTATGTGGAAAAATTTTTATCACAAGATCGTAGAAGAGAAATTAGCAAAGGAAAACGAGAAGGAAGAGAAATCGGAGCACGAAAAAAGGTAAAGGGATTTCAGTGCATTATTTATGTTGACTTTTAATTATTTTGTACTTCACGTACTTTAACGGAAAATACTATAAATTTTCTAAGAGAAAGAAAATTTTATATTGTTTATTGAACGAGAACGTATTTAAATTATTAAATATGTTATAGTAATAAAGTAGTACAACACTATTAAATAATTTTATAAATATTGAATATTATTTATTAATAAAATAATCTTGCATAAAAATTAAATGTCTATATTTATAACAATATTTGAACAATACTTGAAATAACGCATATTCGTAAGAATAAAACAATATTTATACATAAAATGTATTATTTCAACATATTATTTTGCAATAATACTTTGTCTCACATTTATGAGTAAAGTCTATATAAAAAAACTTCTAATATAAGAAATATTAATCTTTTCAAATAAGATTAATATTTCTTATATTAGAAGGAAAAAAATAAAGGAGAAAAATATATTCAAAAAGTTATTGATACAATTTTTTTTAACGTGTTACAATAATTAACAGATTATTATATTATATTGTATAAATTGACAATATAAAAATTTTATCTACGCTCAAATTATTCAAATATTTGAAAATAATATTAAATTATAACATCAAGAAAAGTAACGTGAAGTTATAAAGTATGACTTATTTTTGGCACGAAACTGGAGCGTCGATAACGATGAGCCCTGCATATTCATAATCTTCATGATTAATGATAATGCTCTACAATAAACGAGATGTGCTTTTAACACATTGATGAAATCTCAAATTAAATTATCTGTAACTAGGCGTATATGTAGGATCTATTAATAGAATGAGACTAACATTGAGAGTTCGGAGGAGGGACTACGCGACGACTAACAGGTCTGAGTTCTATACCTGTAGGCAAAATGTATAGGTGTATCTATATATACATGCGGCTGTTTTGAGATCTGGTGTCCAAGGTCGGTACAACGTTATATGATTCATAGTTACCTCCTGTGACGTCTTTATAAAAGATACTTAATTACTCTGGCGTTACGTGAGGAACATGAAATCGACCATCTGTGAAAGAATTTGAATTTGATTATATTAATAAAAATAACTTATTAACGCACGGATTGCAATTTGTATCCGGTAGCTAAAATATATTTTTAAGTGCTTCTAAATTTACTAATTATATTGCTTACTCATAACTATA